ATAATATATAGGAGCAATTGCAGGTATGCTTAAGAAAGAATGAAAGAAAAGGAAGTAAAAGCAGACAAGATGAGCTTTGAGTGAGTCTGTTGCTGGAGCAGAAAGGCCAAATGCTAAATAATTCAGAAATTGTGTTCAGAGACAAGGACAACCCTTATCCCAGCTATGTTTTCTGTGGACAGAACAAACATTTTTGTCTCATGTTTCACATCTCTGGATTCTCAGGAGCAAAGGCAGCGTTGTTAATTTCATTTATAGTGTCATAGAATTTCAGTCAATTTATTTCTTTGCTGCTTTTTATGCATACGTTTCCCTGTTTCCTAGATAATCATCACAAAGAGCAATAATCAGAGCCAGTACTATAGGAGACAATCCCTCCTCCTTCCTGTGCCTTAAATATTCCAGTAACTGGGATTTTGTCCTGATCACTATATTCACTGTCATTTTTCCAACCTGTGTCACTTTAGAAGGCAGCTCCAGAAGGACAAGCCTTAGCAGAACCAGGATTAACAGGTGTAGACCTAGTCCTTACGGTGAGAGTTCCCCTAATAGCATCTACTTGGAGCAACAAGTAGATCTCAGCCCAGCAAAGGCAGAGCGTGCCTCCCCATCCAGGCTTGCTTGTGTCTCTGGGAAAGGTCACCAAAGCCACCACTCATCCAGCCCTGCCCATGTTTCCTGCAGGATCTCCTCACTACACCATTAGTGGAAGGACCATCAATGGAGGGGATGTTCAGACAGCGGGTGAGGAAGCCTGATGGGACTTGAAGGAGGCCCTGTATGCAGGCGGATGTCTTGACCTGGATAGCCCACCTGTCTCTGGCTGATAGTCATCTTGAAGGGGACTTCTTCCAATTTTGGCCCGTGAGAGCTCCTTGCGGACCTGCAGGGGATCACTGGATTTGGCCTACACGGGACCCCAAGATAAAATCACAACAAAGCCCAGTGCGATGGTTCAGGCTTAGAGAAGTTTGGCTTTTTTCTTTTCTGCATCCTGGTCCATTCCTCTTGTTTTGCCCCTCATTTCTGGCATGCCCACAGGAAACTCACCCAGTACTCTCCTGCTATCAGTCTGCTTCACTTGGCACGTGCCCAGGACGCTGCCTGTTCGTCAGGGTCAGTGAGTAGCTGTGAGAAGCAGCAGCTGAAGGCAAGCTGCTTCCTCCCGAGACAAATTCCCAGAGGCTTGAAAGATGGCTTAGCATAGTCTGAAAGCTACACAAGACGGCCACAGGCTTTAACATGCCTTAGAAAAGCCTGCCTGCAGTGATGTCTCTTGACAAGATATGACTCAAAGTTGTACCAACACCCAAAAGTTCACGGTGACAAGACTCACACAATAAAACACACAGGCAGATGTTAAGCACCTGTCCTTCAGGTGCTCATCAAACACTCTGAGAGAGGTGCTGGTACCTGCAGGGCATTCTCGGCGGGGTTGGAAACAGGGCATTGTTCTCACAGATGCACTCATCCTTTGGTCTTTGTTTTCTCCTTGCTTCTTGGGAAAAACACTTGATGAAGGAAAATATTTTTTTAGTAGCATAACTGGCAGCTGATATGCTGCCAGCTTTGCACTTTTACAGTTAACTCTTCCCAGTAGGGAACGACTAGCTGGAAAGCACAAAAAGTCACCTCCTATGCCCTCACTGACGCCACGTCACAGTTTTACAAGGAGAAAACTTGGCCCTTGTCTATTCTCAGTCCCCACCTGTCTGGCCTGCTGAGATCCCTGTGTTGAATGATGGCAGCCCATAGGACATAAACATGCCCACAGGTGTGAGGTCCTATTCAACACAGCTGGGCCTGGATGTCTGTTTGCTTTACATGTCAGAGCACCCTGCTGTCAGTGAGACAGACAAACCACAAGAGAAAAAACAGAGCTTGTGGTGCCTACCAGTTGCCCAAAGGTGTTTGGTCAGGAGTGTCTGGTTAAGCTCCAAGGAGAAGAGCTTACTTCTGAGCTCTGCCTTGCAGAACAACCTCACAAGTTTTCTCTCACTTCATAGGTTTGGATTTGAAAACTACAAGATGGGAAATCTCATGGAAAGATCTTCTCTACATGTCGCTATGGCCTCCAGCAGCCACCTGCTTGTGATGAGTTCTGTGGCAAGACAGAAGCTCAGCTCCTTCTGTGATTTGGCTCAGTGTTCAAGCAGGTTGAATGAACACAATGAGCTGTTCCTCATACCTGGAATAGTCAAGAAGGCCCAGGTCCAAATAGAGTCTTCATTTGAACTTCCATGAGTGACATTCTCTTAACTGAAACCAATCCGTGCTGCCTGAAACAGTGTCAACCACAACGTGGCATTGATTTGTCTGTCCTTTGACATCCTGAAAAGACATGGTATGTGCTCCAGGGTATCTGGGAAAGGTCTGATGCTTTTTTTAGTGACCATTTCCCTGTCTTCAAATTCTGTATGCTTCATACAGCCAGGACAGATAGTTCTTGAGGAGATGTTGGGGCCCTGAGAGCCTCAGACCAGCCCTTTTCTCAGGGAGATCCCTGATGCCTGGGGCTAGGCTGCCCCTGCCTGACCATCAACCTTCCTGCTCCCTGGCTGGGGACAGTGGGATAGGTCCTGGCTGTCAGGCACTGCCAGGACTCCCCCTTGGAAGCCCTCATTGCACTCTAACAGCAAGGTAATGGCCAGTCTCTTCGCGAACGAAGAACCGGGGAAGGTCTTTCCACCTTCCAGCCTGCGCATTGGATTTTTTAGGTGAGACACAGTGTGCGCGGAACTGAGCCCACCCTTTAATCCTGAGGTTCATCTGCCGGGGCCAAGCACGCTTGGACGGTGGCAGTGAGGTCCTCAGGACGTAGATGGAT